GGCAGGACCAGCAGCAGCAGCTGCTGCTGCTGCTGGCGCAGCAACGTCCCGCAGACGCCAGGGCGCCGGGCCCCCCACAGTGAAGTCCTCATCACCAGCTACTGAGGCAGAGACAAACTGGGGTGTCTCCTCTGCAATAGATTCCTTGCATGCAGCTGCAAGAGGAGACACCTAAACAAATGCAGCAGAAGGAGACACCTGAGCTGGTATCATAAGAGACGCATGAACTGCCAGAGGAGACAGAAGAGATACAAAGACAGACAAACAGTCTAACGGTGAAGGCGATACCTGAGCGGCAGGAGGAGACAGCTGGGGTGTAGGAGGAGACAGCTGCGGTGTAGGGGGGGGAGAGAGAGCCAGGGCTCTGTCTAAGAGAGTCAAGAAGAAGGGCCTGCGGTGCATCTCTGCAACGAGGAATGCCCAGCAGAGATGTGAGAGAAAGAGAGGCTCGAGGTGTCTGTACACCCCAACACCACACACCACAACAGGCTCACATAGGAAAATATACACCTGCATATACACCTCAGCCCAGTGAACGCTGACTGCAACAATAACGCAAGTAGCAACAGCAACACCAGCAACAACAATAACACAAACAGTAGCGGCAGAAACAACAACAACAGCAGCCGCAGCAGAAGCAGTAGCAGCAGCAGTAGCAGCAGCAGCAGCAGTAGCAGCAGCAGAGCAGGTACCTGTCAGATGCTAGCAGTCCATTTCTTGGTTTGTCTCTGCTGTATCTGCTCTCAACAAATCTAAAAGCACGAGAAAACAAAACGGGGTGTATGTACACCGCAAGAGACAGAGGAAATACGCAGGTCATCGCGTCCCTCACACTCCGCAGCAAATTCATCTCCCCTTCTACGCTGCTGCACCATAACTAAAGAAAAAGAAAAAGAAAACCATACACACAACTAGACAAGTCATGCTACTGGCAGACAAAAACATGCTGCTGCTGCTGCTGTTACTTTCTTTGCTGCTGCTGTTGCTGTTGCTGCTGCTGCTGCTGCTGCTGTTGGCACATGTGGGGCTATGGCTGCATCCTGATGATTCCAGGCTGTTGAAACCCTAAACCATAAACTCTATACCCCAAACCCTAAACCCTAAACCCTAAACTGTAAACCCTAAACCCTAAACCCTAAACCCTAAACCCCGAAGGTACCTGGATAACTGGGAGAGGAAAGAAGGAGAGGCGGGTGAGGGCCTGCATGAATTTGAGTCTCTGCAGAGCACTAAGAGAGTCGATAGGGCTTGATATGCTGCCGTTGCTGCCGCTGCTGCGCGGCCTCCTGCTGCTGCTGCTGCTAATGCTGCTGCTGCTACTCATGCTGCTGCTGCTGCTGCTGCTGCTTTCCAGTGATTTGCAGACGGTTGTCATGACGTGCTGCAGCAGCAA